AAAAAAAAAAAAAAAGAAATACCCTCTATGTTTAGAATCCACCCTGCCCCATAAAGGTGAAGACTGAGGGGAAACATCTTTTGAGTTCCTCTCCAGAGGGAGGACTGTGTGCTAGCCTGTGCCAGAGGCATACAGACCTGATGGGGGTTCCAGTCACTGTCGAAGATGATCACAGTGTCAGCTGCCTGGAGATTCAAGCCCAGGCCTCCAGCTCTTGTGCTCAGCAAGAAAATGAAGTACTGGGAGGCAGGCTCATTGAATTTCTTTAGCAGAGCAGCACGGTCCTCCGACTTGGTGGTGCCTGAGTAGAGAAGAAAAATAAATTTGCCAATTAATTCCTGCCTGGAAATGGCACAAAGCTAGACCAAAGGGCCGGCCAGCCTCCCTGCAAAATGCGCCCAGACTCTCCTCAACTTGGCTGAGGTAATCCCCGAGGTTTCTATGCTTTTGAAGAAACGTTGACCGTTTTGCAATTAAAAAGACAGAGAGAAAGCCATTCTCAATTCAAGATGTTTCAGACATTCTGTCTACGACCCATTGCTCCAAAATGAGTGTCCATTTTTCTGACTGGGCACCTTTGCAACTTGTACAAATTCTAGAATATTCTTACTGTAACCTAAAACTGAATGAAAACACTTTTTCCCAGATTTAATTCTGTACTTTGAAGCACCAAATCATTTCCTAAATCTATCCGCATACAAACACACACGCCTACAATAATTAATCACTTAAAAAAAAAAGAACAAACCAAGGTGCCAGTCAAGTTGATTCCTACTCCTAGTGACTCCATGTGTGCAGAGGACAACTGTGCTCCACAGGCTTTTCAGTGGCTGCTACCTTCCCAGAAGCACATCACCGGGGTTTTTTCTGAGGCATCTCTAGGCGGGTTCAAACTGCCAACCTTACAGCTGGTAGTTGAATACTTAACAACTATTATCATGCCTTACAGCAACTTTGCTGACAAGCTCCAATGTGAGGACTTAACATGCCAAGAGAACGGGAGAACAAAAGGCAAGTTGAACTCCCTCCCCAATTTTACCATCTGGATTGCTACTGAGAATGATCTGTCTGATAAAAATATAAAAAGTGGGTAGAATATTTATATTGTTAGTGAGACCTGAAGCCACAATAATCCAAAAAAATATGATGAATCGCAGACTGTTTTTTCATGTTGACATTCTTTTCTGTTAACTTCAGAGAATCTACACTAACACCAAAGAAACAGAGCAGTGAGCTATACCCTGGGCAGTGGCCCCCCACAGAGACCAGGGAGGTTCCAAAGTAGTAAGGACCACTGCTGTCCAGTTGATTCTGACTCCTAGTGGCCCTGCAGGACAGAGCAGAACTGCCTCATAGCATGTCCAAGACTGCGAATCTTTACAGAAGGAGACTGGCCCACCTTTCTCCCACAGAGTGGTTGGTGGGTTTGAACTGCCAACCTTTCGGCTGGCAGCCGAGCGCTTTAACTACAGTGCCACCAGGGCTCCTAATGAATAAGGAGAAAGTGCCAAATCCTAATGTTATGAATTAAATTGTGTCTCTGAAAGGTTATGTGGAAGTCCCAACCTCTGCACCCATAAAGTATGACCCCATTTGGAAATAGGGGCTTTCTCTTGATATATTAATGAGGTCATATCAGCATGGAGTGGGTCCTAACCCTAATTTCTTCTCAGTGGTATCTCACAAAAAAGGGAAACAGACAAAGAGACACATAAACTCACAGGGAGAAGACAGAAGCCAGGTGGAGAAACTTCTACAATCAGCCAAGGATCATCAGGAAAAAACAAGATATGCTAGGGCTACAGAAGCTGAAGGACACAAGGATCTTCCTTCCCCTGCAGCCCAGACAGAGACAGACAGACAGACCAGCTCTGCTGACACTCTGAATTCAGACTCCTGGCCTCTTTCAGAACTGTGAGGAGATAAATTTTCATTCTTTAAAGCCACCCACTTGAGAGGCGCCTTTTGTTACATCAGCGCTAGGAGACTAAGCCATCCAGAGTATAAAACTCAAAGGCACCCACAACTTGTGCTCCAAATTAGTGCTCAATCACATAATGTGCATCTATCAGATTTACCCATTCACTCTCCAAAATGCACTGTGGAGGCGGGGAAAGACCCTACAATATTCCACTGAACATCTTTCACTAGAAAAGTGTAGATACAGGGTTTTGAGAAAGGCTTTTAGACAGCTGGGAAACACATACACATGTTACATGATAGTTCCACTTGGCCTGCTGTAAAAATATTATTTCTACATGTTGTTCTTTTTTTAAGGATAAAAATGTACCAGCAACTTGTTTCAGAGGGTTAAATCATTTATGTGATGATCGCTAATGGAATCGAGTTACTAGGAGAGTCAAGTTCCCAAACAGGGTGAGATCTGGTTTTCTCATTTAGTAAAAATAACAAGTGAGCTCTCGAGCAAGAAAAGGAAAAAAATCCGTTCCCTGCAAACAAGGGATTAGGAACAAGGCGCCTGTGGGCTCTCCTCACTCCATGAAGCAACATTCTTTAGAACACAGTTGACTTTCTCAATCAGATCTCAAATCCAACCAGCTGGCCCAACCAACACTGTTAACAGTGAATTTTAAGAATTTAGATTTTTTTTTTTTTTTAGGGGAGCACTAAATGCATTCTACTGTGTTGGTTTCAAACACGTGGGGCTGTTTTTTCATTTTATTTTCAGAACTGAGTTTCTGGGATCATGGGGAACCATCTATTCAAAATGCTAATGAAAGACACGTCCTGTTTTAGCATGAAAATGTCTTTCTACACCAACCTTCTTCTTGCAATAAATGAAAGAAACAATTGCTTGGCTGGATTAATGGGTCACGTATTGACCCTCTGCCTTAAGTCAATGAAACCAAAAGACAGTGATATGGGAAAAGAGGATCGCAGAGATGATAACATCTGTTTTCTGAGCAGGCTTTAAAAGCTGTCCCTTTAGCTCACTCCAAGGGCAGCAGTGTAACAGTTTTGATAAAATGAAAAAGGACCAAATAACAATCATACCCATTAAGGTATTATTGTTGTTAACAGCTGTGAGCCAGCCCCCAACTCGTGGCAACCCCATGCACAGTGAAACGAAATGCTGCCTGGTTCTCCACGGTCCCCACGATCAGTGGTAGATCAGACCTCTGTGATCCATAGGGTTTCTGTTGGCTGGTTTTCAGAAGTAGATCGTCAGGCCTTTCTTCCTAGTCTTTTTCCATCTGGAAGCTCCGCTAAAATCTGCTCAGCATCACAGCAACATGCAAGTCTCCACTGACCAACAGACAGGTGGTGCCTGTGCATTGAGGTGCACTGGCTAGGAATCAAACCAGTCCCTGGTGTGGAAGGTGAGAATTCTACCACTAAACCACCAATGTCCCTTCCATTAAGATATAAAGAAAACTAATTAGGGGATTTGTTTGTTAAATGGTCTGAAAACTCTAACTGCAAAAGAAAGGACAAAGGAGTATCAAAATTACTTGGTAAAAGAAGTCCTCAGGCAGTGTGCCAAACACCTCAAGCAAGCAGACCAACTAATGTATCTGGTGTACACTGAAACTATGAGTAGCTGAGAACATGAAACATAAAACCAGGAGAAATATTATTAAGTCCATTTTCACACAAAGCTATGGCATTTCTTATTACGAGTTTCCGAATTTTACCAGACTACCATTTCAATCAGTCAAAAGGGACCAAGCCAACATCTCTGTAGTCTTGCTTGGGGAGGTTCAAACTACCATACAAGGGCTTTATCCAAAGGTGAATTCTCACAGATGGCAACCCAGTTAACATTCTCAGGACGAGCAGCAATGTCATGTTCTTTTAGATTTCGATGTAGAACGTAGCCAATTACGAGAACACAATGAATAGCAACACCATTTGTGTTGAAATTTCAGAATTTGCCAGAAGGAACACACTGCTAGGCTTCCACAATGACTAATTTTAACTTTGTTGCAGCTGCTTTTGGGAAATTTTGTCTTCTGGTATGGAACTTCACCACTTGCTCTCACTCAAAAACCATTTCCAGAGAAAACAAAAACTGTAACGGAAGAGTCGCTAAATCTATTCATGCAGCTGTAATCTTTGCAGGAAAAAAATGTGCTTAGCTTTCACCAAGTGATTTTTCCTGAAGTCAAACTCTGCCACATTAAATCCAGCAAGGAATAGCTGGTCGTTTTCATAATTTGTGAGAGGTGGGTGGTGAGGGGTGGTTCAGGTGGAAGGACAGGTACTAATTTATACATATGCATCTTTATTATCAAGCTCAGTGATAGCTCAGTGGTGGAATTCTCTTCTTCCATGGGGGAGACCTGGGTTCCATTCCTGGCTAATGCACTTCAAGCGTAGCCACCACCCACCTGTCAGTGGAGACCTGCATGTCTCTATGATGCTGAACAGATTTCAATGGAGTTTCCAAACTGAGACAGACCAGGAAGAAAGGCCTGGTGATCTACTTCTGAAAATCAGCCAATGAAAACTGTATGACCACAAAAGTCCAATCTCATAGTGCATGAGATCGTCGTAAGTTCAGGGTCAACTGAAGGGCAGGGAACAACCACTACAGTCTTCCCTCCTCGCCAATCAATTCTTCTCACCCCAAGACAGGCTGCTGCTTCTTGGACAGAAGCCTGTCCATCCTTCTCAGTTCTAGCTGGAACACTTTCAGGAACTTGCTTCCTTGCCTGTGTCCTCCAACTGAGGGTAATGGCTTGACAGCAGGAAGAGAGAGTGCTGCACATGCTGTTTGTACCACCATTCATTCATCTAGGATCTCTTGGGCCTGTCATTTTCAGTTAATCAATTAAAAACACTTTAAATGCTAAGTTCAAAATCACTCTTAAAATGCTGTTGCTACAAGAGCAGCCTGTACTTGGAGGGATGGGGTAGCTCTCACTGGATCTGCTAAAACTGAGCTAGATTAGAATCAGAGATTTAAGTCAGAACCTAGCCTCATCGATCACTTAATAAGCAAGCTTTGATAAGCTACTACTTTCTCTAAACTTTTATTGTCTCATCTCTTAGAGATCTGTTATGGACTCAACTGTGTTCTCCCAATATGTGTATTGAAATGCTAACCCCCATATCTGTCAATAGGACCCTGTTTGGAAATAGGGGGTTTCTCTGTTACATTAATGAGGTCATGCCAGAGTAGGGTGGGTTCTAAACCCAATCCCTTCTGAATACTGTCTGATAGAAAGAGCAGAACAGACATAGAGACACACATAGGCAGAACACAGACAGAAAGGAACCTCAAGGAAATCCCAGGCCTATCACAAGGACGGACCCTTCCTTACAGCCAATGCCCTGATTTGGACTTCAGCTTCCAAAACTATGAGATGATAAATTCCTTCCTGTTCTTTAAAGCCACCCACTTATGGTATTTTTGTTCTTATTGTTGTTGTTAAGGCAGCACTGGGTAACTAAGACAGAATCATAAAAGCGTACAGTAAATGGGGATAACAGTACCTTCTTTGTGATGAAATGAAATGTACATGAAATGCTTTGCCTAGCATCACACATGTAGTTGGCATTCCATCCCCATTAGCTCTTATTACTATTACTGTTAACAGCAATAAGGGCAGCAACCAAGAGGATTACAGAGAGTGTCTCCTGCAGGAAAACACTGAAGAGATTTGTTTTAAGGAAGTCACTTCTTGTCAGTTGCACAGATCCAAGGATTTCAAGCTGATGTCCTCAGAGAGCTGAGATCAAAAATTAAGTGCACAGAGGAGTAAACAATGCTTAGTCAAGACACCTGTGGGGCCATAAATCCAGAGAAAATGAAGTTCTGCTGCGTCTCCCCTGAGCAGGAGTCAAAGAAGAGCTTGTCTTGCAAAGGAGTCCCTGGTGGTACAAACAGCGTGTGCAGCTGCCAACGTAAAGACTGGAGGTTCTAGTTCATCCAAAAAAAGTGCCTGAGAAGAAAGGCCTGCTGACCTGCTTCCAAAAAGTCAGCCTTGGAAAACCCTATGGAGCACAGTTCTACTCTGACACACACGGGGCTGCCATGAGTCGGAGTTGACTCGACAGCACTGAGGCTGGATGTGGGTCTACACTTTCAGTGAGGAGTGATGGAGAAGTTTTGAACTCCTGACGGGGGAAGGTTCCATCAAAGGCTAAGAAGCAACAGAGGAAGTAGTCTTGCCAAGAGACAGACTATAGTTAACATGGTTGTGTCTGAATTAAAAACGAACTATTCATCTGCTTTCAGTGACTTGGGAGAGGTGAGGTACAAAGATTTGAAATCATCAAGTCTGTCAGAAACTATCGTACATTTAAAAATTAATACCCTCAAAGGTAGACCAGAAAGAGAATTCACCTGGAAACTCAAGGAAGAAGATTCCTGGCCAGCTTGAGCTTGGTATAACCACTAATTATTGTTTATAAGCATCATAAAGCCCTGCCTGAAAAAGGCTTCAAAGATTATTTAACTTAATAGAAATTCTGAGGAAATAATGGCTATTTTGGGTTATGTGAAACTTCTGACATGTAGAACAATTTCCTGAGTGTTTTACTACAGCAAACCTATAGTTAGTAAATAAATATTGCAGTTATTATAAAATAACAAAAAAATCAAACTCACTACCATCGAGTTGATTCTGACTCACAGCAATCCCCACTGGGTTTTCAAGGCTATAAAATCTTTATGGAAGTAGATTGCCCCATCTTCCTTCCACAGTGTGGCTGGTGGGTTTGAACCGCCGACCTCCTGGTTAGCAATCAAATGCCTTCTCCACTGCTCCACCAGAGCTCCTTATTTATTTTAAAGCATAGCTAATTATATCTTATTATAAATAATGAAACAGACCTATTTGATTATTCTTAAGGAGCTCTGCTGGCGCAGTGCCTAAGGCATTTGACTGCTAACCAGAAGGTTGGCGGTTCAAACCCACCAGCCACTCTGTGAAAAGAAGACTGAGCAATTCACTTGCATAAAGATTTACTGCCTCGGAAACCCAAAGGGGGTAGGTATGAGTCAGAATTGACTGGATGGCACTGAGTTTGATTTTTTTTTTTTTAATCTGATTATTCATAATTAATGGCAATAGGGGAGCAAAGCTTAGCTTGAAAGCAAAACAAAACCTTATAATAGAACACAAACTTTAAATTTCCCATTTAGTAATAACTTCGTTAGATAAAAATTAGTACCAGTAGTATTGTACTTTTCTACTTGTTATTGGTTGCCTTTGAGTCACCTCCAACTAATGGTGACATCACTACAACAGAATGAAATGTTGTCTGGTCTTGCGCCAACTACATAATCATTGGTAAGTTTGAGTCCATTGTTTTGAGTGCCTTCTGACCTAGGTGGCTCATCTTCCAGAACAATGTCAGCCAATGTTCTGTTGTGATTTGTACAGTTTTTCACTGATTATCAGAAGTAGATCACCAGGCCTTTCCTCCTAGTCTACCTTAGTCTAGAAGCTTTGCTGAAAGCTGTCCACAATGGGTGACCCTGTTGGTATTTGAAATACTGGTGGCATCACTTTCAGCATCACAGCAACATACAAGCCACCACAGTATGGACAAACCGACACATGAGTGGTAAGCATTCTTCTTACCCAGTGAACACATTCCTGGTAGTAAATGAGGTCCCACTCTGACATACCACACCTTGAATGCATTATCCCTGCATTTTCTTGCATCCCATGCAAGTGTTGATAGCCCTAATCTCTAAAATATTATGACTGGTACCTAACTCAAAGAGTAATTTAGTGAGTATTCATCCTATTTTCTGACTAAATCTTAGTGTTTATTTACTGAACACTAATTAAAAGTGTTTAAATATTTCACTCTTAAAATCAGGTAAACATGTGGCATAGTTTGCAAAAATCAACAAAGCCCTCTCTCCTAACAGTGTGACATGTGACAATATGTTCTTTTGAGAATGAGAGAGGCTTTAGTGATAACTAAATATAATCTTAAAGCAATTAAACATAACTTTAAATGAACTATAACACTCTTAATTGAAGGAAGGGGACATAATAGCCTTTCCTCCATGTTAACAGAAGAAAGCTAAACCAAAAAACCCACTGCCATCAAGTCATTTCCAACTCATAGTGACCCTAAGGGACAGAGTAGAACTGCTCCATAAGGTTTCCAAGACTGTGAATTTTTACAGAAACATTTCACAGAAACGACTGCTGCATCTTTCTCCTCAAGAGTGGCTGGTGGGTTAAAACTGCTGACCTTTTGGTAATCAGGTAATGGCTTTAACCACTGCACCACCAGAGCTCCAAAAAAAGCTAAAGTCTTGTTAAAGTATCTGTATGGTGCGTATGTAACACAGAATCTTCAGAGCAAGCAAGGTGTTTTAAATATTATTTGAATTTAGTTTGATTTTGGTTCATATAGACAACTCTGGGTCTGCATGTCTTGTATGTTAAATAAAAAGCTGTACAAATGATTTTAACTTTTTTTTTTTGTAAGCTTGATTGTGCTAGTTAAGGTTATGTGTCAACTTGGCTGGGCCTGGTTCTGAGAGGCTGGGCAGCTGGATGTAGTTCTTCCTCACGATGAGATTGGTAATCAAGTCCATGGTGGAATCTACTGGAGCAGCTGAGTAGCTGCCTTAGGGATGTGGTCTGCTTCCAGCAGCAAATAAAGAGAAGTTCTGAGAAAGGTCTCTGCAGCTTTTTGGCACGCTTGGACCCTGCATGTAGCAGAATCTTCATTTAGCAGCCTGCCATGTTTCTTGCCGATCTTGCAACTGTCTCTGGACTTGAACTAGTGGCCTGCCATGTTGTTTGGTAATATTGGGACTGTGCCATTTTATTTGTCAACCTTAGGCTTGTTAGCCTCAGCAGCCAGCAGCTGCCTGAGAGAAGAGATACCTCTAGCTCCAGTGGGCCAGGAACAAGAGGCAGAACTGAAGCCCAAGGTTGAGGGGCTTTCATGTAGCCCCTAGAGCTGGCACTTGGAGCTTAGACTTCTAGCTTCCTAACTTTAAGAGAGTAAACTCCTGTTTGTTAAAGCCATCCCACTTGTGGTACTTTCTGTTAGAGCAGCAGTATGTAACCAAAAAATTGAGGATGTGAGAATTGCTGTCTAGAAAAAATGCACTCCACTGTGCTATTAGGAACCCTGGCGGCACAACAGCTAAGCGCTTGATTGCTAACCCAAAAGCTGGCAGTTCAAACCCACCCAGCAGCTCTGTGGAAGAAAGATCTGGCCATCTGCTCCTGTAAAGACTACAGCCTAGGAAACCCTATGGGGCAGCTCTACTCTGTCACACGCAGGTGCTATGAGTTACAATCGACTGGATGACACCCAATAACGACACTGCTACTTGATCCCTCAATAGTCCTGGCCTGCTTTCTGTCCATCATCCCTTCATTTTTAGTCACACAGCTCCGTAGCCCAATTCTTCACACACTCACCATCGAGGCGCAGGTAAAGGAAGTTCCGGAAAGCAAAGTAGTCCTCCATGATGGTCATGAGGGACGTCATCTGGCAGAAGAGCAGCACGCGGTGGTTTGTTGCTCGCAACTTTGGCAGAATCCGATCCAGCAGCTCAAACTTCCCAGATGCCCGATACAGCTCAGCCCTGAACCCACAAAGGCAAAGCCAGAAGTCAGCATCACCGCTGCCTTCGAGGAGGATCCAGGGCTGCTCTACTTCCCACCCCATGCCTGGTACAAATACTTCATAAACTACTGCAGTGAATGGAGGGATGCGGGGATGTACAACCACTACAAAGCACTGAGAGTATTTTAGGTGAAAAGAAAATATGCTCATACAAAACATAGAAAAAGCTCACTGTCTAGGCAAGGTGCAACAACAAACGTTAGGAAGAAGAGAGGAGACCTTTCGTCCTCCTCATGCTTTTATTATTTCTCAATTTCCCTTTCCATACACAAATGTACACGTGTAAATGTAGTATTTCTTTAATCCTCACTTACTAAGTATATGAAATCATTAATTAGGGCACTGAAGATGCATTCAAGGGAAGGGGCAGTTTGAACCCACCCACAGGCTCCACAAGAGAAAGACCTGGTGATCTCTTCCCATGAAGATTAAAACCAAACAAAAACTCACTGCCGTTGAGTTGTTTCTAACTCATAGCGACCCCTCCTTGGGTTTCCGAGATAGTATCTCTATGGAAGTAGATTGTCCAATCTTGCTTCTGAGGAGTAGCTGATGGGTTTGAACTACCAGCCATCTGGTTAGCAGTCAATGCATTAGGCACTATACCAACAGAGCTCCCCCATGAAGACTGTTGTTGTTGTTACGTGCCGTCGAGTCAAACCCGACTCATAGCGACCCCTCCTTGGGTTTCCGAGGCAGTATCACTACGGAAGTAGGATTGCCCAACCTTCCTTCTGAGGAATGGCTGGTGGGTTTGAACCGCCAGCCGTCTGGTTAGCAGGCAAGTGTCTTAGCCACTATGCTACCAGAGCTCCCCCCATGAAGATTAGAGCCTAGAAAACCCTATGGGGCAGTTCTACTCTGTCATATGGGATCACTATGAGTAGGAATTGGAACTGACTCAATGGCATCTGAGAACAACAAGATGCATTCAAACACTTATCAAGCACTTATGTGGCAAGCACAGTACGTCACATATGTCTTCCAAATGTGTAATTACAAACTGTAATATTGCTGTTAGGTGATAAGAGTTATAAAAAAATAAAAGCAAGTTTCTACAAGAGGAAGTAACACCACATTTAGATTACAGCAGAGTATGGGAAACTTCAGCCTATTAGCCAAATATGACCCATCACCTATTTTTATAAATAACGTTTTATTGGGACATAGCTACACTTACTCATTTCCATTTTGTCTATGGCTTCTTCTGCACTTCAATGGCAGAGATGAATAGTTGTGGTAGAGAACTTATGCCTCACAAAGCCAAAATTATTTACTCTCTGGCCCTATTTAGAAAAAGGTTGCCAGCCCAATTTAGAGGGTTAGGGGTAGCCTCCCTGAAGGAACCACATTTAGCTGAAAATGGAAATAAGAAGTAAAACGCAGTGAGGTGAAGAATGGGTGGAGAGGAGATTCTAAGAAGGGAAAAGAGCTTATGCAAAGGCCCTGAGGAGTCAAAGAGCCTGGTGAGTTGGGGGAACTACGCAGGGGCTTAAACATAAGGGGAGGACAGCAAGGTTGGGACAGGGGAAGGGGCCTGATCATAGAGGTCTATACCCCATTTTTAATGCTTTAGTTTTGTTTCCTAAATATTTTATTTATTTTTGGTGACAAAATATACAACCAAACATATCTCCACTCAAAATTTCTCCATGAACAGTTCAATGACACTGTCTACATTCTTTACACTGGGTCACCATTCTGCTCTCTACCATGTTGTTTCATCATTAGTTTAGGCTCTCTGCCCCTTACAGTTCTCATCTTGCTTAGGTGAGTCAGTTAACATGCTTAGAGATAATTCTTTATAAGAGCACTAGGCTTGAGGCTAAACTGTTGTTTAGTTTTAACAACGGCTTCATGGGATTGTTTCAGTTCAAGGTTTAAAGATTATTTCTGGAAAACAAATTCAAGGGTTCCTCAAATTTCAGTGGATCCAGTAAGTTAGTTACATGTAAGTTTGCAGTTCTGTTCCATATTTTTCCTCCTTTTGATTAGGATTCATCTGTTGGGTCCTTGATCATAAACGTTCAGTAATGGCAGCCAGGCATCACCCATTTCTTCTGGTCTCATGGTAATGGAGGTACAGTATAGTTAGTGGAGGCAATTAAACATGTGAGCCATTCTCTTCTCCGATTCCTGGGTCTCCTTTTTCTTCTGCTGTGCCAGGCGAACAGAGACCAATTGCTGTATCTTAAAAGGCTGTTTCCTGGGTAGCTGCTACAGCATTAAGGGCAATGGAAGGAAAGCTGTTGATGGGTTTTAAGCAGTGGAGTGGTGAGGTCTGACTTACCCTTTTAAAAGATCACTGTGGACACTGTAAGAGGGGACTGGGGTGGGGCCAGAGTCCTGCCTTACTCTAGCAGTACAAGTCCAAAGCAGGGCTTCAAACTCACTTGAACTGGTTCAGTTGTGGCTGATGATGTGAAATTGAAACAGACCCAAATTTTTAAAATTTGGGGGAAGCAGAATGATAACCAGAATGGGAACAATTACGGGCTAAAGCCTTGGAATGGGAGACTTGAAAGAGGCGTAATGAGCCCCTTCAGGAGCCTGATGTGGGAGACTGGATAACCAGCATGACCGCGGAGAGCAACATACACTCAAAGTGGCACAGCTGGGCCGTACTTTTGAGAAGGACACTACTGTTTCCAACTCTGACTGTCATGAGATGTGGTTGCTATGTAACATGCATGCACACTGCCCACATTTTCTAAGAGGGAGATTAAGTTTCCAGCAGGGTACTGACCGGTAATTTTTCCTATTCTGATTATCATTCCACTAACATTTTACAAATTTGGGTCCATTTTGGTTTCACATCATCAGTTGTGACTGAACCAGGAAGAATGATGAAGCAAGATGGAATATGACGGTCCAAACATGATGGTCACTTACTGCTTGAGAAAATGAGCAATAAGCTAAAGGGGGCCTTTTCCCTCCACAATAAGGCATTTTTCATTTTTTATGAACAGGGATGTATTCTAACATTAAGCCTCATTTTAGTGCTGCTATGGTTTGGAAAATCACCAGTGCATATTCAGGCTATAATACGAAAAAAGCATAATTTGGCAGTTGACCTTACAACCTGGTATGTTACTTCTAACAGACACACTACCTGCATGACCCTGCTCTGTCCTCCAACATCTGCTGGCCACATTTCTACTCTGCAACCTTAGCCAAGTTCACGGGGCCAGGAGTGGCCATAGGACTTAAGCTGACGCAACTAGAGTCTCTCTTGAGAATCTGGCCCTGAGGTTCTAAGATGCTACTTAACTACTAGAACCAGTAACCAACAGAGACCTCACATGTTATAAAGTAGAACTGTGCTCCACAGGGTTTTCATGGCTGTGATCTTTCAGAAGCACATCACCAGGCCTTTCTTCCAAGGCACCTCTGTGTGAGTTTGAACCACCAACTTTCTGGTTAGTAGCCAAGTGTATAACTGTTTGAGCCACACAGGGATTCTGTGAAGTCACCCTGCTTAGCAATATGCCAAGGAGAACCAGAGCAAAGAGAGCCAGGGAACAGAAGGGAGAGCTTAGTAGCATTGGTTCTGGATGAGATCCAGGTCCAGGTTCTCAACTCAGTGATACTTTCTTCCCTGAAGATCCAGGAAGAACCCCTGTATCCTAATCATAAATATGCCTGTTGTGAGGCATGTCTGAGAGACATTCTATTAAGGCAAGGATAATATCTATTGTAACAAGACATGATTCCTTGCCCACTGCTTATGAAAGACGCTTTCTTATACAAACCACATGCTAACAAATTCATGTGTAAATTCATACACATGTGCAACAGAGAAACCATTTCTACTCATGTACTTCAGTGTTAAATGTCCATTTGAAATTTAGTAAGATAAAATCTTTTTGAGCCCAAGTGGCACTATGATGATAAGTAACAACCATTTGAAGCTTCAACATTTTCAGAACACTGTTGTTGTTGTTGTTGTTATGTGCCGTGGAGTCGGACCCAACTCATAGCGACCCCTCCTTGGGTTTCCGAGGCGGTATCACTACGGAAGTAGATTGCCCCATCTTCCTTCCAAGGAGTGATGGGTGGGTTTGAACTGCCAGCCTTCTGGTTAGCAGTCAAGTGCCTTAGGCACTACGCTACCTGCTGCTGAGTGTTCCATAGATTTTACTTACATTTTCCCTGATGATCGGCATCTAGGTTGCTGCCAACTCTCTGGGGCCACACTGTGATGAAAGCCCTTGTGAATATCTTCATGAACCTCTGGGAAAATTTCTTGTGTGCTTATGGAACTTTGTACTAACGGCCTGCTTCCTCGCCACGCTGCTTAGCATAGAGCAGACATTCAGTAAGCTTTGAACGCCTCAGCTCTACAGATTTCAATCACAAGAAATGTGTGAGTTTCTTCAGAACAGGAAAGATGTCTTATTTATCTTTGTATCCCTGGCCCATTGAAAGCAATTTGGGTAAATATTCAATGAATGAATAAATGCTTCCACCTAAATGTACTGGGGCTTGGTCTTGCCCACTTGTCTCTGTGTCTCGGCCTCACTCTGATGTCTAGCTCTTGAAATTTCCCCTTTCAAGATAAAAACCAGTTCCTTTTAAGATAACCCAACTGATTTCAGACACGGCTAAGCTCTGCTCAAGACTTTGTTCCTCCCATATTCTCCCCTCTCACACTTAATGACAACCCCTCCTTCCAGTGGTAGCTCAGGCCTACAATGGAGTCCTTTTGGACTCTCTCTCACACTCTGCAGATGCAAAACCATCTGCAAGTCCTGAGTCCAGAACCTATTTCTCACCACTTCCACTGCTGAAACCCTGTTCCAAGCCCTATTCCTCTCTTTCCTGGGTGACTGCAATAACCTCTTCACTGGTCTCCCTGCAGCCACTCTTGGCCTCCTTTGTCTATTCTCAGCACAGAAAACAGAGTGATCCTGTTAAATTTCCATCAAGTCGCTCTGACACTCTAAGCCCTCCAAAAACCAAAATCAAACCCACTGCCTTCAAGTCAGTTCCAACTCATACAGACCCTATAGGACAGAGTACAACTGCCCCCATATGGTTCCAAGGCTATAAATCTTTGTGGAAGCCGACTCTGCTGCAGAGTGGCTGGTGGGTTCAAACTGCAGACCTTAATGTTACCAGCCAAGTACTTTAACCACTTGCATCGCTAGGGCTCCTTTAAAGCCCTCCAATGATCCCTGAATCGACTTGACCAAAACCGGATCCCTGAATCGACTTGATGAAAACTGGGTCTGCAATACTCATTCATGCACTCAGTATATATTTAGTAAGTATTTACTGTGTTCCAGAAGGAGCTCTGGTGGTGCAGTGGTTCAAGCATTGGGCTGCTAACTAAAACGTCAGTGGTTCGAACCCATCAGCTGATCCATGGAAGAAAGATGAGATGTTCTGCTTCTGTAAAGACTGACAGCTGTAGAAATCTGTGGGACGGTTCAAATCTGTGTCCTAAGTGGTCACTATGAGTTGGAATCCCCTCGCCAGCAGTGGGTTTGGGTTTTTTTTTTTTGGTACTATGTTTCAGACATTATTACACCTCAACATTATTACACCTCAAAACAAAAATCTTCACAACTGGATCAATAAGCAATATCACAATAAATGGAGAAAGGATTGAGGTTGTCTGCAATTTCATTTTACTTGGATCCATAGTCAACACCCATGGAAGCAGCAGTCAGGAAATCAGATGTCATATTGCACTGGGCAAATCTGCTGCAAAAGACCTCTTTATAAAGTGTTAAGAAGCAAAGATGTCACTTTTAAGACTAAGATGTGCCTGACCCAAGCCATGGCATCTTCAATCACCTCATATGCATATGAAGGTGAATAAGGAAGACCAAAAAAGAGTTGATGGGAGCTCTGGTAGCATAGT